GTCCGGGCGGTGCGGGTGTGGGGCTCTGTGTGCGAGCGGGCGTGCCGTGCAGTGCTTCCCAAGTGCTTTTCTCTGTTTTGCAGATAGAAAGCTTAGACAAGACTCTGGAAGATTTGCTGACCCGAGTGGACGAGTTTGTGGGAATGCTGGACATGGTGTGTAGAGCTTGCGTAGGGCTGCGGTTCTGAAGTCAGAGTACAGTGTAACGTGTTCTGCCTTATCCAGCTGCAAACCCCCTGCGTGGGCAGGGACACTTCCCACTAGGCTGCCCGAAGCCCCACCCGGTGTCCCTTGCACACTTGCAGGGATGAGGCAGCCACAGCTCCCCTGGGCAGCCTGTCCCAGTGTCTCACCACCCTCACAGCGAAGAGTTTACTTGTGATGTCTACCCTAAACTTCCTCTCTTCCAGTTTCAATCCATAACCTCTTGTCCCATCCCTGCAAGCCCTAGTATAAAGTCCCTCCCCAGCTTTGTTGTGGGCCCTTTCAGTCACTGGAAGGCCCCTGTAAGGCACCCCAGTGTTCTCTGGGGTTTGTAATCAAACGTCTAAACCTCCCAAGCTAGATGTGTCTTCAGGCAATCCTTGCATCAGAAAGGCAGCTTTGTTTTCACTTTCTCATTAGAGGAGGCAGGGAACTGAATGGAGAGTTTCTATAAGCTGACACTGGTACACAAGGCTGTTTTTTAAGGCATGGCACATGTGAGTTGCCTGCACTACTCTGAGGGACTTCATTTTTTTTTTACATAAAGTAAAAAAAAAAGGATTCTGTGGTCTGGCTTTTTTAAGTAAAGTTGAGGAAATGTACAGGTAGTAAAGTTTAAATCAAAATTTTAGTTTAATATATTTAATTCTTTATTATGTCTTGGGAAATGTTCCATGTTGATTCTGCTAAGGTTGCAGCAGCCCCTTTTTAATATAATTATAAAGGTAAATATTTGCCTATGCAAAATAATGTTTTAAAAGGTGTTTACTGATCTATACATAGTTGATTAGTTTTAATCTAGTGCTTTTTGACTAACGGTAACTGAGTTTTAATCTGTTAATTGGAGCACAGTTCTAGTTTAGAGAAGGAAATGTACTGAACGTTTCTGTTTATTTCATCAGCTTTTGTATTATGTCTTTGCATCACCTCTAGATTCGAAGTGATTCCTCTCAGGTTGTCAATGAAAGTCTACCTCAGATTTGCTCAAAAGCTACAGAAATGAGACAGATATACAGGAAGATTGACAAACTAGAGGTATGTATTTGATATCTTCTAGATAGATTCAGTTTCTTAAGGCAGGGAAGAATTAATGATACTGTATAATTGTGCCTGTGCACACAAACATCAACATCGAGTGGGCTCAGTTCTGTTTTGGTCTCAGTGTCCAATCTGGGTTCAATAGTTCAGGGTTAATAAAGAGAACACCATTTATTAAGAATTTCTGGAGACTGTGGACATTCCAAAACAACATGCCCTTTTAAAAAAAAATTGAATACTTGTTTCATTGAAGCAAGGCAGGCACCTGACTTTCAGAAAGCAATAGTACCACTTTTTCTTCTTTTTGTTTTTTTTAGTAGTGTCTCTCAAAGTTACTGTTTTGGGAGCTATTCGGTGACTAGTAGAATGAGAGGTCTGTTAATCCCTGGTAAAGCTTCAGAACTGTGATTGAGATCTGTGGTCCCACTTTTAGTAGAAAGGCAGATAGAAGTCTAAATTAGTTATTGGAAAGGCAAATAGGAAAAGCAAGACTGGTTGTTTTATTAGATTTAACCTGTTTTTGCATCAAGAAAATGGACTTGTGCGTGGAAGGAAAACTGAGCATGGAATTTCTGAATCCTCATTTAAGTAATGGAACTTTCACCCCTGTCAGGCAATACATAATCCTGCTTTAATTTTGTTAGTGAAAAAGTTGGATTTCTTTCGTTTTTTTCACGCTAGGCTTTCGTGAAGATGGTTGGAAACAGTGTAGCTGAACTTGAAGAACGGGTCATAAAGGCAGAAACAGACTTTGGAGCTTTTCCAAGCACATTCAAGAAGATCTTGCACACAATAAGCATGCCATCCTTCCTTAATGTAAGTAAGCTTTTGGTAGCATGTGACCAGCTTAGCTGCTCTCCTTACCAGAGTGGATGATGAAAACAATAAGAAGTTTGTTACACATAGATCTGAATATTAGCACTTCTGTGCTAATATTTTTGCAGAGTTCTCAGGCTTAATAAAACCCAAACCAACCAACCAAACAAAAAAAATTCACAAATTCTTACAAGGGTTTGTGTAACTTTACCAAATAAGGCTGAATACATGAGGAGGGGAACATGAGAGGCACAAACAGGTGTATAATGCAGAAGCCTTTATATTAAAGCATCCATGAGCTCTGATGGTGTGCAAAGAAAGTAGGAGGAGCCTGTACAGACAATGCTGTTAAAGAACTGTACTGCATTAATACCACTACCAAAATGTTACAAAACAGTAAATGAAAGCTGCACAGGACAAGATTTTAAAAATCAGGTCCTGTTTATATTCAGTCCACACAGGTCAGTCATCCTGCAAGCACCTTGTTAGACATTCAAAGGATGCGCTTTTCTTTGTCTCTCCTAGTTACTTCATGTCGACTGTTTTCTGCACATGACTTGAAGTACTCTCTCTAGTATGTCTCAAAGAGATGCCTTACCTAGCCTTAAACTCCCACTATGCCCTAGTTTTAAAATAACCTTCTGATTTAAAAAAAAAATCTTCTGAACACCTCATGCTTCTTGGCATCACCTGCCAATGCGTCATTCTTCCTTGAGTCTTGTCAGCTCCTCAGTTCTTTTCTTTGTATTTTCTATGTTCATCCTACACTAGCTCAGGTTTTTGTATCATACTACTTGTGAGAATGCTGAGGAAGATGGTTGTGGTTATTTGAGGTATTTGTGTTCCGACATGTTGCAAGCATGTGTGGCAGCAGGGAAGAAGAAAAGTAAAAAGAATATGTATTATCTGGGTAAGACAAGGGAAAGAATAGGGAAATCTCTTCTTCACTGCTATTTTATGTGCAGTTAGTTAGCTTCTCACTCCAGCATTTTATTTGGTGTTTTAAGTTCAGAGAGATGTAATTTTTTCTTCTGAAAAAAAACAACACAAAGATGCTTTTTATGGGCTAGTTACAAAAACAAACTGCAGCAATTGCTTTGAAGAATATGGAAAAGTATTTTACATTTAATTGCTAAAAACATTTGTCAACCACAGGATTCTGATTTTCAGTTGAAAAGCTTGAAAGTTCTAAGAAAGTGATTTTTTATTGTTGCATTGGAAAACTTTTGTCAGTTTTGCAGTTTTTCCACAATTAATTAAGATGGAAAGTCTTTGAAAGTGTCAGCAAGCTGAACCTGGCATGCCCAGTGGTTACTTGGTTTGGGAAAATAGCAGTAAAATCAACCCTCTGCAGTTACTGGCATTAGTTGATTGACTAAAAGGCAGGTCACTGTTCTGCAGCAGTACTGAGTTTTGTACAGTAAAATGCCTGATTTCACTAGCAGAATGTCTAGAGACTTCTTCTCATGTCTTAACATTTAACTAGCTGAGTATGTTAATCCTTTTGAAAAGAAGGCTATACCATGATTTTCAGTGTAGCTGTATTTCATGTTTTCCTGCTACAGTTTTAATATAGTCCAGTCCCCTCACTCTCTTCCCATTTAAATGTATCTGTTTCTTTACATAAAAGATGTATTTCTCAAGCTGTGTATTTGTTATCTCCCCAAGTTCTTCCCTTGTGAATTCCAGGCAGTGTAAACTACTCTTTAAGACTTCCAATATCACTGTGGACGTAGACTCTTTAAAAGCTAAAAGTATCTGCTAAGCAGCTACAAAAATAACTATTCATAAATGTGCGCTTAGGCAATTGTGGGTACCCTGCCTGACTATGACTTTCCTCATTGAATTGAAATTATCCCCTTCTTGCACATATGCAAATACAGTGCCTCATAGTCAGTGTCATGAGTTCTAGAACACCTGTGACATTTGTTGCCCTTGCTTGCAAGATATTTTCTCATCAGGTGCTACAGGATAGGAAATAATTTTTTTAAACTGAACTTTGATTTCAAAGATTGTTATTCCATTTGTCAAAGTTTTTGATACAGACAACATTGTTAGGATCCACTACTTACAGATCTGGTCTTTGTACTTATTACCATACAGCTTGAATGGCAAAGCAAACTTATTTCAGAGAAGTTCGTGTTACTGTAAAGTTAAAGACATAATTTAAATCAGCAATTTTGTATGTAACAGGAGATTTCATATGGAGTACAAGTATATAGCTCAACTGAATATTGGAAAAATTCCACTTAGCTCTTTGGTAGGTGTGCTTAATTATACCTGCATTTTGGTACTGTGAAAGCATTCCAAACTCCAAGTATGCAAATTATATTTGTTGTGCTTTAGACTTTATAATTAGTGAATTTCCTCATCTCAGACAAATGAGAAAGTACCTAAACTCTGCAGACAAACTGAGAGCTCTGCAAAATAGTTCATAATAATATTTTCATGAGTCAAAAAGAATTTTTAATGCACAAAGTCGTGATTCCAAACCTCCTATTTAAGGCCATATATTGAAAACATAGACAAGGGTCTGTGTTGCAGTGCAGCGTTATTTACGTGCAGGTAGACTGACACAGTAGTCAGTAGTGGTCCTTGCTGTTGCCTGTTTAAATGAACCATTAAGTACAGCAAAAGAAGGTACAGTTAATGCTTAAAAGAAATGTGTACAGTTTTCCTGAAAAGCAGCGTGACAGCTCTTGCCAGTCCCCTACCATATTATTTTCAATAGTATGTCATATTACATGTATTCTAACATACAGTTGAAAAGGGAGCT